TTATACTTAAATAATTATTAAATGTTGTGCTCTTGTAGTGATATATACCATAAACTAAATCTGCCATAGTTTATATGTTTAGCAGTGAATAACTCTGAATTCGTAAAAGCTGTGTATAGAAAATCCCAAACTATAACTATTATAGTTTGCATGCATATAGTGTAGTTGATGTGAATATTGAATCTGAAAAACTATGCAATTATGGTTGTAAGTTGAAAACGTCCCTTATGCTCAACATAGTACAAAAGGGATAAAATATATAAATATTTTATAAAAATACGGAAATCGTTTGTCTGCATCAGTTGCATAAGTTTTTATACTTGTTAAAAGTCCTTTTGTATTAGTTCACAAAATCAATTGTGTTTGTCTTGTATTCCCCCCTAAAAACGTTTAAAAGTCGTTAAAGCGTAGGAGTATGAACTCACCTCGAGTGAGTGGTTTGAATGAAAGATCGGTATGGGATGTTGAGTGTCAAGTGAAGTCTCGAACACAATTGGATCCTATTTAGCATGTAATAACACATATATGAATCAAATTAGGGTATTTCACCACTAGACATGATATGAGACCACCCTAAGGACTTGGAAAACACTTGAACTAAGTGTTTAAATCATATGTGATTGAATGAGGGAGGTGTGCGGCCATACTAAGGGTGTGTACAGCCATGGGTGTACGGCCCATGAGTGTACGGCCGTACACTCATGAAGAAGTGTGCATTTGAGGTGTTTCCAAGGTCCTAAATCGTATCAAGGAAGTGTTCTTGGTCCCATGCTTAGCTTTTAAGGCCAATAATGATCATCAAAGTGGGTTTACGACCCTATGAGGTGTGTGCGGCCGTACAAGGGGTGTGCGGCCGTACACCCTTCATGTTCATGCTAACATAGATTGAATTGAATAGTTGTGCAAGATAGGAGTTCCGGGTTGTCACAGTATTAGCAGGCTTAGAACCCTTCAAAAATTGATTTTGGGCTCATTTGGAGGTGGATGATGTAGTTTGGATGATCCGGGTATTCGGTTTGTGTTTTGGAGCCCAAGGGTATCGGTAAAGGCGTTGGTTTGGGACTTTTCCGAATTTTGGATTTAATTTCGGTTAGTTTTCAGACTAAATAAAGTTGATAGAAGTGCAGGGCTTCTCGTTACTTTTTCGTGTATATAAAGAACGTAAAAAACGGATAAGGGATGCAAAATTTATAACCATTTGAAGTTAGAGGGGTGTTGGGCCAAAACGGGTACGCATGGCGTACCAGGTAGGAACGCATGGCGTTCAAAAAGGAATTTGGACGCGGGAGCATTTGTGAACGCCCTATGTATGAGACTTTTTGTTAATTTAGACATCCATGAAAGGTATGTGATTATCGATCATAATGGATGGTGTTTCCCAGGCTCACCAATTGTTATGGACCGTACTTGTCAAAGTTTCATTGTTAACCCAAAACGACAACCTACTTTTGTTTTTAACCTCCGATTGCAGAAAACTTTCGCTATTAACCCAAAATAACAACATATTTTCGTTTTACCCCCTAATTTTAGAAAAGTTTTTTTAACCCAAATAACATACTATTTTCGTTTTTAACCCTCAATGACAATAAGGTTTCATTTTTAACCCAAAATGACACAAAATACCATCATACTTTCGTTTTTTCACAAAATACCAACGTACTTCCGTTTTTTCACATAATACCATCATACTTTCATTTTTTCACAAAATACCCTCATACTTTCGTGTTTTCACAAAATACCATCATACTACCGCTTTTTCACATAATACCATCATACTTTCATTTTTTCAGAAAATACACTCATACTTTCATTGTTTTCACAAAATACCGTCATGCTTCTATTTTTTTAATAAAATGCACTCATACTTTCATTTTTTCACTAAATAGCCTCATACATTCGTTTTTTTTTTCACAAAATACGATCATACTTCCTTTTTTTCATAAAATACCCTCATACTTTCGTTTGAAACACATAGTGGCAACAAAATTTCAATTATAAAGACACAAATCATACAATCAACAAATTTCATTTGAAAACATTAAATTTGTTAAGAAGCATCAATAACTTCTAGATTATACATATATCGTTTGTGTCTAAAACACGAAAAATGTGCATTTAACCAAAAAAGAATGTCATGAAGCATCTAGTTTTTCTTTTGTTCACAGAAACAACACATCTCATCATTATGTCTCTTGCAATGATTCATCCGCCTGATACATGAAAAAAATTATTAATATAATTATTAGAGTTCTAAATCATGAAAATTAAATTATTATTATAATTACCTTTCTTTTTGAACAACTAGTAGCGTAATGACCCAATCCTTGATAGTAAGAGCATGTTCGTTTTTTGGCGGCTTCTAAAGAAGACTTGATTTTACTAGCAATTTTAGGACGCCCTTTTGTAGTTGTTGGACCAAGAGGATCACAGACAGATAACTATGGCATCATATCTATTTGCGAAAATCCCATACAAGAACCTTGATATGCATTCTCCAAAGACATAGATTTCTTTCGATTTGCCTGATCATCTAAAAGACTTATCAATACTGTATTAAGTTTTTGTATCTCCGAAGGGGAGTCTCTTGGTTGTTCAATTAGTTTACTAAAATTTGAACAAACACACCATAGTGTGTAGGCACTAACTCCATTTTCATTATTCGTTTCTCCGAGTTCGATACTAGCACTACCAAGTTTGTACCTATCATTAAGGGTCTATCGTGGTAAAATATAGTGACTCGGGAGTTCTTTAACATGCTTCTTCTTCATCACATATAGCCTACGTTTTCATAAAATCCCATTTGTTCTTTAACATGCTTCTTCTTCATCACCCTGGCCATGTACGCCCAACGTACTCAATAATACCCATATATGCCCAACGTACTCACGTAGTCCTTAAATTACAAAAATGCCATTAAAGACCAATTTTGCAAACAATTTTCATACTAAAGGGTTAAAAGCTAAATACTTGAAAATCGAGATGTTACACTTAGCTTTGGTAACTAGTTATAAATTCTAATCGATATCATATGTATTCAATGATCTTAAATAAGTTTTAACCATTTTAGCAAGTATATTACATGAAAAAGATTAGATGATTAGTGATTCTAATGGATTGATGGCAGATAGGGGAAGTGGGAGAGTTGTCAGAGATGTTCCAATGGAAAGGATAAGTGGAGAGAGGTTTGCCAAACTAGAGAAATGATGACAAGGAGCATGTAGAGGAAGAACTCTCTGATGTTTTGTTGTATCTGCTTCAACTTGCTGATGTTTGTGGTCTTGATCTTCCAAGCTGCTCTATCTAAGATTGTCAACAATGCCCAGAAATACCCTATTCTCGATTAGTTTTGCATGGTCCTTTAATATTATTTTCATATGATGAACCAAGATATATGAAATTAATGTGGCCTACATTGAGAAAAAGGTATGAGATAATAAATCTAATATATGTTTGGGTGTTGTTTTGTTTCCTAGTTTTTTGTTATACTAAATGGTCATAGTCATTCACTAACATATCAAGATTTCTATAAGAAATGTGTGTTTTCTTTTTCATGTTTGGTCATGATTTGTCAATTCTTAGGACATCCAAAGTGAAGTCAATTTTATAGAGTTTAATGATTGTCAATTATTTCTAAGGAGAAAGAAGGTTCACCATATCATGTCATTTTTCCTGATTTAGAGCAGCTTGCTGGTCAAAATCGTTCAATATTTAACCACAAGGTAATATGAATCTGCATCTTGTTAGTTCTCACCAAATTAGCCTCCTAAGTTATTGCTGCAATGCTTAGATTAAAGGACTTTTTTACCCTTTCATGATTGTGAATATGTTTTTTATGTTTTGTGAAACTTTTTATCATTTTGTGATTTACTTGAATAAACTGGAAGATGCATGTTTGTATGTGGTTATTATCTTATTTTTATAAACTTTGCAGTGACTTTTTCAAACATTTTTTTTATGTTGGTTGGTTTATCTCTTTCTTTGCAAAGGATGTGGTTGTTGTGAAAAGAGTCTCAAACACTTAATGAAGAGCAACAAAGATTAATGTGTCGAGTCAAATATCATCATCATCTCAACAACACAAAACAAGATATAACAGAATCTTAAGTAAAGTGAAATCAACTCAAAGAGTATTTATGGGGGACCCGGATGAGCACTTGTATCATATACTAACATCATCTACCATCAATACCAACAAATTAGCAAAGTCCAAAACGTTCTGCACATAAGAACGTGCATTAACACTACCCCTATGAGCACTTGTATCATATACCAACATCAAAAGATTTTATAACACTAATGGATCAATTCTTAAGAAATTATAACAAAATAATTATTATATTTGTAAAATGGATTTTGCATGAATATTTAATTTGCAAAATTACTTCTAATTATTAAGATGTAAGGAAGTACAAAGACATGATTATGATATAAAATAATCAGGAAAGTTGGTGATCTGAGGTAAGTGGACTATTCATTTCGATTACTTTTTTCAGAGTCAAAATGGTTAAAATCAAATCACATTATAATTTTTCCAACATCAAAAGATTTTATAACACCAATGGATCAATTCTTAAGAAATTATAACAAAATAATCATTATATTTGTAAAATGGATTTTGCATGATTTTAATTTGCAAAATTACTATTCTGATCATTAAGATAAAACGAGGTACAAAGACATGAATACCCCCTTGATTATGTCATTACAATAGCCCCGGAAAACTTGTAAGTCCGATAATGATCTACAACTATGTAAATCCCATAAGCTAAAACACTTACAAACACAATCTTTGATAAAACTCACAGAGAAACTTCCAACAAAAACATTTGGATTATGAAATGATGTTTTGCATTTTTTTTCCATGATTTCTTTTTTCTCTTGTGGTTTCTTTCTTTGTTCCTTGGGTTTGTCACCTAGGTGTTTCCGTTTCTTTGATAGTTTTTGGCTTGAAGAGGTGGCAGCGGCGGTGGTTTTCTGCTAGTCATGGCGGCATTGAGTGTTTAGATACGAAGAGCAAGGGCAGAGGTGGTGGATGTCTTGGTGGCAGCCGCCATTGAAGACCAGTACCACCACCATGTGTTGTTGATATAATATTTCTTGATCATGATTTCCAATACCATTGTTGCTTCAACCACTTGCATTCTAAAACATTAAAATTAAAAAAATAATAATATTATTAAATAGTGGACATGTGGATTATAAAAAATTCGAAAGTTTGGAATTCATTCAATAAAATATAATTCAAACTTACCTTATTTTCACAAAAATGATAAGAATTCTCACTTTTACTTTATTCAAAGAGAACTAGTGGACATGTGGATTATAAAAAATTAGAAAGTAAATGAAGTGGACATCCGGATAAAATATGAAAAACATCACAAGATATATAGGATTTTAAAAGAAACATTTGGTGGATCTTAATGTTATATAGCAATTATGCTTTTTATCAACACCACACAACCTCACACATAATACATGCATTGTGTATGTATATTTGAATGTATATAGATATGTATATGTATATATGTATGTATGTGTGAAATCAGATAGAGGTCAATATAATCATTTTATTTGGGACATGGATGAAAAACTTTTTGAAATTTGTTTCTTTAAGAACCAAAACTGAAAAAAGAGTTAAACTCAGGAGCAAAAAGGTGATTACCTCATATATGGTATTTAGCTTATTTAACAAAAGCACACCATTCAGACCTCCATCCAGAACTTGCCCTAGATCCTGTTTTAGCTCTATCAGGAAGTGCAGCTTCCATATCCAACAAATTCATCTTTAACGGTCTCAATGAATCACAACTGGATCCTGGTCGACTCACCAAACCCAAACCACAATCAAACTTGTTCTTCTTATGTTGTTCAAATGCAACATTTGTGAAAAAGGTTTCATGGTATTTAACACAGTGGTATCTACATGGCAACACGACGATTTCTCTTCGGGTCGTTTTGTTTGAGTTGATTAGATTCTTGATTTGTTCGTCGGATTGCCATGAAACGGAATCGGAATCAGAATCACACATTCCAGTCTCGGTTATGAGGATTCCGTTATGTGTGCTTGTAATAGAATCTGTTCTCGGAATCGATACCTAAAAACTCGTAGCGTAAAGAGCGCTCTTCATGATTAACAAATTTTAGGGCTTTTTTGTTGTTGCATCACATTCACATCTGGCTCTTTCAAATTCGTACGGATAAGAATGGTTTTCAATAGATCGTCGCATAGAAACTTGAGCAAGAAGGTTTTCTACATTAAAAAAAACATACGAGTGAATGACCATTTTAACCCTTTTGTCAAAAAAGTGATGGTGAATACAAATTATTGTTCGTCGTTTATCCAGACAGGATTAATTTAAAGAAAGAGAAAGAAAGAAACTCACCTTATCTGCATCTAATTCCCAATACTATTTTTCCTTCAAGGCAGTGGTTATATCCAAAAACATAATTCTTTCTTCACAATTTTTATCAACAAGTTGTAAAATATTTTCAAGAGCTTCCTGCTTCGTTGTCCTGCTGAGGTGGCACACAAATGGGACAAAACCAGTTGCCATTTTGGATTTCAGAAAGAGGGGAAGTTAAACAGTATGTGTGATAGTCTGCTTCACACGTATCACAAAGAAGTACTTTTGTATCATATTTATTAATCCCGCATACATTACCGATTCCTGTTTCCCAGGGTACTTCGGGTATTTCAGTTGAAGTTAGAATCTCTTCAAGCTCCTTACCTATTTCCTCAACAGGTTTTCTGTTCATGTTATTTTCATAAAATCTCCTAAACAGAGTCCCTACCTGCATTAATAATAAAATCACCTTAAGAAATCTTACTTTATTTTTATGCCATGTCATTCTCCGTATTCTAATAATTTAGTGCTGACATGGCAAAAAATGTTTGGTGATTTCATGTGGACTATAATAAGAAACAAACCTCCTTTTCATATCGCAATTAAAATTTACGTGACATTTTATCCACCAATCTAAATTTCGTGCGTAAGTTAATCCAAACATGCAAATCAAAAAACATTAACAAAATAATAAACCTTAAAATAAAAATAAAATAAAAAGGTTAAAGAGAATATCTAACCTCCTTAACATCCTCAGGAAATGCTTCATGTGAAGCACCATATGCCCATGAAACAATCTTAAATCAATGGTTCTTAAATCAATTCTATGATATGTTAGATTGGTATCATGGTAGATATGATGTTGCTATGTCTAGTTCTCGGTAGATCAGTTGTCGGTTGTGCGACTCTTTCTTGAGGGAGTTAGTTATTGAGTGAATGCGTTTAGTCACATACTTCATGGGTTAAATGGTCCTAGGCTAGGGGATTTGGTTCTGCTGCGCAGCTCTTGTCTGAGTCTAACCGTTGTGAAATCGAGTCTTTTAGCCTAGGGTTGTTTAAGTCATGAGGTATGTGATAGTGTTCAAGAAATAACTAACTGGCACCAAGGGAGAGTCGGGTGACAGTCGTGGTAGAATGACTATATGTGATTACTTGATATATGTGCACATGCTTGATTGGTAGTTGAGGGTATTCCATCCCGAGGATGAGTGGACCCTAGTATGTTATCTATGTAGACTGTTATATGATTATCTGATATAAGTACAAATGTTTGATTGTATGTGGGCATTCCAACCCGATGGTTGTGGGCCGAGAGTATTCCACCCCGAGGATAATTGGACTCATAGTATGTTGTGTAACGCCCGTAGATCAGGGCTAGTCAATTAAGAGACGATAAGCATCAAAAATTACTTTTTGATGGAAGATTATTTAAAAGGATTAATCTTAACTAAGTTGTAGTATATGTTACAAGGATTCCGTACATATAAAGAACGTCGAAATCCGAGTTATAACGAAGAAGTTATGACCTGTCGAAGTTTCACGACAAACCGGCACGGTGTCGAATGTCGTAAAAAGTGAGTTTTTGATAAACTACTTTTTAGCCTTAGTGATCTAAATGAAAGTCGTAGTATTCGTTAAACCGAGAAGTTCGATAAAAAGAACGCCAAAATCTGACTTTGTATGAGGAAGTTATGATTTTTCTAAATTTCAGCTTAGCAGTAGACAGCTAAAAACTCAAATTTTAGACCGAGTGATTTTTAGCCGACACAACCTAAACGAGAATCGAAGGTCCCGTCAATAGTAGTACAACGGTAAAAAGTCTGACGAAAACGGACGTCAGATGAAGAAGTTATGGATTTTTAACGGATTTCCTGTCCCGGTCTGTTAAAAATAATAATATAAAAATTAAAATCAAAATTAGCCGACGAAGTCTAAACAAAAGTTGTAGAGCGTAATTTTACCTACGCGTGCATATAAAGAACGTCAAAAACGGAGCTCGTATGCGAAAGTTATGATTTTCGCAAGTTTTTGGCACAAAAATAAGAAAATGTGGAAAACTGGGAAATTTCGCTGAGTCACCTCGGACACGTCATCCCTCGCATGCGAGGCCTCCACGTGGCACCTCCTGATAGGACCGAGCTTTGCGTGTCGTCTTCTGATTGGACCAAGTCCGCGGTCCACTCGCATTCGGACAACCTCGCAGGAGACACCCCGCGGATGCTCCTCGGACACCCCTTCGCATACGTGTACTCTTCTTATTGGACCGAGGCTGCTGACCAATCTGAAACTTGCAGCTGTCCGTCCGAGCCTCGCCCTGCTGCCACCTGGTCCGAGCCTCGCAGACGCGTGCCTCCCCCTCCTTGCTTCGGATCCAACCCTCGCTGCTATAAATAGGAGGGTGCGAACCCTCCCGGCTAGAATTTAAGATTTGGCATTTTTCACCCTTTTTTCAATATTTTCACCATTTTGACGTCCTCCGAAGCCCCGATATCGATTATAACCCCCGGAATACGCCCCGAAGTGCCCGAAGACCCGGAAAATTTATCTTTTCGGTTTTGAAGCCCTACCCTTCGCAGAGCCCGGTTTCTCAATAAAACTCTCGGTTTTATTCGAAACGATCGTTTTAGGAAACGAATTGCTGCCCGATTTTCATTAAATCAGGTGAGTGTGTAGTCACTTTCATCTTACACATAGATATGAAGTATTTTATATAAAATACGTGCTATGTATATATATGTTGTTTGTTTATTCGAGATGGGTGTTGAATGAATGTTTTATACATGTTTAAAATGATTTAAAATGTATATATATATTTATCTTCAAATATGTTGGGTAAAACATGGGTAGATAAAGTATGAGGGATAAAAGTACAGTATAGATGTACGTTGGTAGCTATGAATTTAGTACAGTATAGATGTATGTTGGTAGCTATGTATTTAGTACCTTGGCGACTATGAGACGTAGTGCCTATTGTATAAACCTTGGCGACTATGAGACGTAGTGCCTATTGTATAAACCTTGGCGACTATGAAACGTAGTGCCTATTGTATAAACCTTGGCGACTATGAGACGTAGTGCCTATTGTATAAACCCTGGCGACTATGAGACGTAGTGCCTATTGTATAAACCCTGGCGACTATGAGACGTAGTGCCTATTGTATAAACCTTGGCGACTATGAGACGTAGTGCCTATTGTATAAACCCTGGCGACTATGTGACGTAGTGCCTGTTGTATGAACCTTGGTAGCAATGGACTTTGGAGAAATTCCTTAGGTCAATCCTGAGGAATGATAGGATGAAGGATAGTCGATTCTTAATCGACGTTTGTTAGTGCTTGTAGTATAAACCTTGGGCAGCGATGGACTTTGTGCCTATTCCTTAGGATGAATCCTTAGGAATGAGTGAGATTTGATTCTTAGGGTAAATCCTTAAGAAATAAATAAGATAATGGGGATTGGGTAATTGGGTTGATTGTTTGATGTTTAAGCATAATAAATTATTTATTGTGGGTTGAAAACCCTATATGCTCACCAGGCTCCCAAGCCTGACCCACTCAGCTTTTTATGATTACAGGTAGTGGACCCCGAGCATAGTCGGATGATGATGATGAGTGATTTTTGGATTATAGGCCAGTAGTTATAAATAACTGTTGTAAGGCTTATAATGTCTTGTTTATGCTTTTGATCTGTATCGGAACATGACATCCCGAGGTTTTGATATAAAAGGAAATTATATATTTCTTAAAGAAAGGTTTTGACAAACTTTTATCATGTTTTGTTTTGGGGACCAATTCCGCAACATCTTTTAAAAATATTTCTCTGATTTTATTTTAAAAAAGCATAAATTAAATCGGTCTTTTCTAGCCGAGAAATTAGGGAATGTCACATGTTGGCATTCCAACCCGATGGTTGAGGGCCTGGGGTATTCCATCTCGAGGATGATTGGACCCATAGTATGTTGGCATTCCAACCCGATGGTTGAGGGCCCGGGGTATTCCAACCCGATGGTTGATTGGAACCATAGTATGTTGTTTGTTATTGTATGTGTATTAGTGGTGGTGGTGCATTCTAGCTTGTAGATCCAGAAACTTCATCTCTTTGTGCACCTTTTCAAGGTATAAAGTTCAAAACTTGGAGCTTATTTAGTTAGATCTTGCTTTGCCTTGCTATTTGGTTCTTTTTGTCCCACAACTTTGATATTTGTGAGTAAGGAGTACTCCGAAACTATTAAGTCATCCTTTCAAACAATTTAGGATGTCTAAAGTCATAAAAATGTTAACTTGGTCATTTCCTTTCTTCCATGCAAGAGATATGGGGTTTTAATGAAGTAGATAGTTAAGGTTTTGGGTTTTAGCTCCTTCTAGCCATACAAAGGCTTAAAGTCAGAGACTTTATGGATTTAGACGTTCCTTAGGGGACAAATCTGAGTTTGGAAAAAATATCTTTATGATTAAGACGTTTTAAGGAAGTTTTGAGATTTTCTTACGTACGTTGAGTGTACACCTGGCTACATCCCGCGTAGCTAGTTTTGAGCTCGTCCCTCCCTCCTTGCATTCTACGCCTCGCATAAAGTGAGTACACCAAGCGTACTGGACATGGGTTGACCGTTGACTTCCGTTTCCTTTCGTTGACTTTGACCACTTATGTCTTAGATGGATTGTGAGGGGTTTTGTAAGGGCAAATCGG